TCATTTTCTTCTTTGCTTCTTTGTTTTAACATTCCCAAATTACAAAATTTAATGGTTGCTTTGTTCGAAACGGTTATTCCACATAGAAAATAAAAATTAATTATTCAACAAAATTTAATTCATCTTTTGATCTTCAAGTTGAACACCTAATTCTTGTAAAATCTCATTTCTTACATGATTACTTAGCAAAAAACGAATTAACTTTTTCTTATTTTCGAGCCATTTCACATTGCGTTTCTTTTACAAAATGTCTCAAAACTCGAGTATGTGATTTGCACACAATTTTGTAGAGAATTGAACGAGAAATCTACCACTAATAGAATCAATCTCGTCAAGTCCAAGAAAGAAGAAAAAAATCTAATTACTACGATCACAGTTATATCTGCACTAGTCATGATTAGTCTCTTGTGATTAGTTATTAGAGATGTATACTTTATTATGATTAGAGTTTTGCACTAATATACTATATTGTCGTTTGAAACAGTAAAGCATGTCCTCAAAAACATATCTCTTCTAGATATCTTTTATTTTCTTTTTATATTAATATTTCTCATCCATGACTAATGTCGATTGCTGGGCTAATTGTCGAATTTAGCTTTGATTTCATTACAACATTTTTCATTTTTTTTCCATTCAATAGTCTTAATCAAGAAAGTTAAATATTAGTATACTTGAACTATCAACAAAAGAAAAAAATCGTTTTTTTATATTAAAAAGTCAAGTCCCATTTGTGCTTGCATTCTCTTCGTATGTGATGGATTCAACAAAATGCATTTGATTTGTGAACAAAAGACTTCATATGACACAGAATAGAAAATTATAAGGAAAAAAAACGTCGGATTAATAGTGAAAAGTATTTTAATAATTTGAATATTTCGAATAGATCTCGGCAGAATGATGGCATATTACTTCATTAGAACGTTGCTAATGATGTGTTGTCACTTTCCTTTCGTTGCAATCATCAAGCCAACTATCAACGCCGCCCAGCAAAATTTTTACAATATACTAGAAATAAAGGAAGATCGAAAAGAGTGAGAATGAGAGATCACTATGACTTACATCACCGAAACTAAATGGAAAATCTTTACCACGACACGTTTGAATTACTTTCTTTTCACTTCGATAGTCATCGACAATATCAAGATTCGGTATTGTTTTATCCCAATCGTTTAAGTACTTCATAGATTCATCATCATCTAATATAAAAAAATTAAAATATAATACAATCTATTATTTTTGATATAAGTGAAATATAACTTCGAACAATAGTGAATATGTCATTAAAATCTTCTAACATTTCTATTATACCTGTACAAATGATAATCGTTACTGGAATCTGATTCGTAGGTTTACGTTCATTTTTGAGGACATGTTCAAGTGTGCGAATATCGGGACGTTCTCGTTCGTCCGTTGGTATACCATCAGTGGCTATGAGAATGAGTAATTTACGCTCGTAAATATGATTACGCTTGTCATGAAGTACTTGTCGAAGAACAGGTACAATCGGTGTTGAGCATAAAAATGATTTAAAAACAATTAAAAATTAGAAAAAAAACTAAAATCATATCACATGTTTTAATTACCTTCTGGCGCAATAACAAAAAGATTCTCTAATTCGGACGAATCACGTACATGAAATATTGGCTCACGATTGAGAAAATAAACATCAACACCATCAGGATCAAAAACGTTGGCTAAATCGACTACTATTGATACTATTTGCTTTAATTCATCCCCTGAAAATGATAATAAAATTAACATTATATCGTCTTTATTCTACTACATAAAAACCTTACAACGTGTCACTTGTTTACCGGATGGATCATTCATTTCACCTAGATTGTTAAACAATGACTAGATGAAAAATAAACATATAAAACAAGATTATGACTTACCAATCGGTGCAGTCATCGAACCTGAATCATCACATATAAAGACGATTTCATAACCTCGAAGACTGTGTAATCTTTCAGCAAAAGTTCTACTAACTAAAACATTATCATGCTCTTATGATCAATACATAATTCAACAAAAACGCTCACTTTCATAACGATTGACGAACTTATTGAAATTAGCCATGTAACTATCGCGTGATTCAGAATCATTTCGAGTTGAATTTGGATCAGGATATAGCTGTCTATTATTATTGACAGCTTCATAGTATGATGGTGGCTGTGGAGCCGATGGTTGTGGATACTCTTTTGGATTCATTCTATGAAATGATGTAGAAATGAGTCGTTTTTATTCATTCTCTTTCTTCTGTCGAAGTAACAAAACAAAAATCTTGACATGTACAAGGGCGACAGACGTAAACGCTGTATGATTCACAAGAACGTGCACATTTACGTATAGAATGTTATGAAAAAGAAATCGACAAAGCAAATATAATACTATTGACGTCAAAATCATGACTCTCGCTGCAAACATACGTAGAAATTTCTTGTTTCAATAAATACTCTTAGCATAAAATCTTTTTTTTTTTGTCAAAAAAAATTTTATACGAAGCTCTCTTTTTAGTACAGTATACTAACAATTTTCAGTTTGAATTGATTGATAAAAAAGAGAGTTAACTCTGTTCCCAAAGGATTGTTATTTGTATTGAGTAGTAAACACAAATAAAAAAGAAGGAATAGATGAGAACATTGCCTTTTTAAAGAAAGATGTCGTTGGAGGATGATACGAGAAATCAAACGTGCTTGAAGCGAGAAATTTTCGACAGATTTTGGTTCTCCGCCTTGAAACACTTCTGGCTATGGGTATGTGATTTTACAGAAAACGAGCACCACAATAGACAATTAATTTATTCAACCAATTAACAATCTGAAATAGTTTTATAGTTGATTTCGATTTGGAATATATGACTGATATTTTCATTAACATGAATTGCTTTGAGTCATCATCAAAAACGTATAATTATTCTATTTATATATATATATCAAATCTTTAATATAAGTTGTTCCGATAGGAAAGAGACAACGATGTTGCTTGATTATGTATTCATCAACATAATTCCTTGTTTCTGTTGAAAATATGACATTGACATATCTTTGATAATCTGAAATAATGTTCAGTTGATTAATTATTATCGGACAAATTGTTTCAATATGTCAATTTATTAGAATGATTGCTTGTAAACTGACTTCATATGTCCGTTAAAGATATTGAAAGACAGTTAACTCGTCTATTATATAATGATTGTTTATTTCCAATGCACATTCATGAGAGAAAAACAAACACTTGTACTATTTCGAATTCGTTTTCTTGTTTATTTTTGTGTACGCAAAGTATTGATCATTCAAAATCTTCTCAAATCCTTTTGCCTAATTTCTGTTACTAAAGCATATGCCGTAGACTTCTTTGCAAGATTATTCATGAATGTTTGAGTTCAAATGGTAATTTGCAATATTGAACAAAAGAACATTAAAACGCTAAAACATGTCCAACTTTCTAGAAAAAAACATGAAGCTTCTCTTTTTTACTATGATAAATCAGAAAATAATCGTTTTATTATTTTTTTTCTCCAGTTTTTGAAGACAAATATATGGCGCATTATATACAAACTTCAGGACCTTAATACGTTCTTTATTTTGAACGAGATAAGAGGAAAAAAAGGAGTCAAATTGTTGACAAATTTCATCTTGTTTAAAAAGGAGCCAATATAATGAATGAAATGAACTTCAATCGATGTCATGACAAAGAGTAAAATGGATCTTGTAAAAAAAAGTGTCATTTGCTTTTTCTTTTTACATCTAAGTCTATAAGAAGGAATCAAAAATAGAATGTTGGAGCGTTTTAATATTCTTCTATTCAATATTTTAAGTTGATATTTAAATCAAACATTCTTTTGTATTCTGGTTGAGAATTCTATCACATATACTTTTGTGTAAAATAATTAGGTAAAACGATAGAGATAGTTTGATCAAATATTGAAAATGAAAAATGACCCATTTCCACTGGATCACTCGATATTCCTTAGTGAAATAGTCATACCTCAAGATGAACAGTGTTTAGGAATAAATTTTTCCTTTTGCTAGTGTTAATATTTGTGAATGTTAAAAAAATTTCTCAGACAAACTTTTTAGATTATTTATTCGCTTGAATATATAAAAAAAATATATTATAGTACGCTTGTTTGACAAAAACAATTATTGAATATGAACGAGGTAAGAAAAACAAGATTATGTCAATATTCAAAAATGCTATCGATGGAGGATAATCATCTACTGGCTGAATCTCAAAAGCAGACATTATGTATTCGCTGGTTAATTATTTTAATTGAAGCTCAACATCTATCAAAAAGTCGAATTTTGATCTATGTCTATTGCTAAATGCATTTATGATCGATCATTTGGAGCACTAATAAAGATTTTAGGAGAGAAATTCGATTCGTATTAAGAATTCTATCAAAATGCTCTTGCCCAATATCGCATAAATTCGTGTTTTGTTCTATAAATATCATTAATGAAGACCTATTAATTGATGAAAAAACAAATGACTTAGAATTCATTTTTCATGATCTTGTCGATATCAGTCAACAAGCCAATCGAGTTAAAATAATACATGTAATGGATCTAGCAAGGTTAATTATTACATTCATGTCGATCAAAAAATATTGCGCTATACCTTGACATTGAAAATTTTCATATTTTCGAACAGAATATTTCTTTCTATTAGTCAACTATAGAAGCTACAATATGATATAAGAATATGATCCTGAATGTATAATTTTGATTGAGATCTATTCTACTCAAAGGGAAATTTGAAAATATAATTCATTGATTTATTCAGTAATATGGAGAATATTTCCATTATGAAAGTAAATATTTCCTTTAAAAGTAAGAAAAAAAAAGAAACAAGATTTATAATACAGATGGTTCTAACTTTCATCGGGTAGTTCTGAGTAAGTTTTTCGATTTTGTTAGTATATTCGCTGAATTTTCATCTTGATCATGCATGATTTCATTTCTTGTTATAGAACGCGATTTATCGGTAGAAACCATTTATTGTTTTCGTTTGGCTGCTCGTTTAGCAATACGTGATGCTGCTGGTCCAGATATTTTAATCTCTATATCATCATCATCGGTTCGACGTTGGATATCAGTAGCAGATGCAACTAGAATAAAACAAAATGATTAATGAACTATTTTTTCCTTGTACACATATCAACACAAATATTCACCTGCGACCTATAAAAAATAGAATTAAATTGAAATAAATATGAAATAGAAATTTGATTTTAAACTCACTTCTAGTTGTGTTTGAGTTTCAACATCTTGAAGTGCAATCATATCGATTGGTCTTTCAGATGTCAATTCAGTAAGCCATGTAGATGTGAGAATTTCACCGATTGTAATACGTTGTGCTGGCTCAACTGTAAGCATTCGTCGAATAGTCGATTTAGCTTCTTCTGAGATATGTTCCCATTCTTCATTCGGAAATTGATAATTACCAGTTCGAATTCTACTCCTCAAACCAGTACTAAGCTGTTCTTCACTTTCCGGAAAGAAAGGTGGATAACCACATAGAAGAACGTACATAATTATACCCATCGACCAAATATCACAAGCCTGTTTAACAAGAAAAAGAAAAATTTTCGAATTTGACTTTCTCTTTTATAAACTATCAAAATAAAATATAATTAGTGTATTACTTTATCATATCTTCCGCGAGATAGAATCTCTGGTGCAACATAAAATGGTGTGAATCTAAACGAGAAAATCTAATGAAACAATTCGATATTATTAATTTATTTCTATACAATGGAGTACACAATGGTAGTAGTTGATCATTTCCTTAAATAAAATAATAAACTATAGTCAATTTATTCGTTTTTTTTTCTTAATAACTACTATTTTTACCGTGTTTAGCAAATCCAAAATCACTAAGTTTGAGAATAGCATCATTTTTTTCATTTGTTAAAAGTAAATTTTCTGGTTTTAAATCACCTATGATTATAAATTTAAATAGTTAATTATATTTTTCAATTGTAAAACTACGTACGATGAGCCTATAAATAATGAGATGAAAAATAAAAAATATATAAATAGTAAGTTATATGAGAAAATCTTACAATATCCATTTGATGTAAATGTTTAACAGCTTGAACAATCATCCAAATGTATCTTGCAGCATCACGTTCAGTATATAGACCGTTTGTTCGTTCGCGAATACGATTGAATAATTCACCACCTCCCATACTAAAATAAAATTTCATGAATAACTATATATAAATGCATAGATCGACGAAAAATTAACTGTACCGTTCCATGACAAGTAATAAACATTGATTGAAATCATACGTATTTTCCTGTAATAAGTCAAGAGATTGAATCAATAATTGAATAATGAAAGAAAAGAAAGCACAAGAAAAAAATCTTCCAGCAAAAAATATTCATACATAGACATCCACTACTTGTACAATGTATTGACAATTTTCACATGCTCTTTTATGCATGATAATTTCTTGTCGAGCTCTGACTGAATCTTTCAAAATCTATAGAAATTTTAAATATAAATCAATTGATATATTTATATAAAATAAATCGAAGATATACTTTGAGTGCACATTTTTGTCCTGTTCGACGATGTTGACATTTTAATACTTTACCATTTATACCACAACCTAATGCTTCTGATGATATATCATAATCGTCTATAATAGGATTTCGACGTGTTGTAAATGGAAATGAACCATATCTATTCGAATAGTTTGATTGATTAAAATAAATTTATTTTTCATATAAAAATCGAATCAACAATGAGTTATACTAATAGAAAATTAACATTTACTGATATTATAAAACATGTTAAGTAAATCATCATAAATAAAAAATTGATATGAATTTGCATGAAATCCTATTCTTTTTATGCTGCACCGTCTTCCTCTACAGTGATTATTATCAAAATAATCATGGTTTTTTTTTCTATAAGCAAACATCTTTTACAGTATGAATAACTTGAAAGTAAGATTATCAAATCATTCTCTTGGTTTTTCAGTTGATAAAAGAAAAATATTTTATTTAAAAAAATATATAAACTGATTCGCGTACCTTATATTTGTTGTTTTTTGATGAGTGCCTGTTGCCATGTGAAGAAATTGTATACAGGTAAACGAGTACGAAGATGTAATGAACGGTAAATAATAGGCAATTCTGAATAATAATAATAAATAATCCGTATGTTTTGATTATGTGAAAAAATTCGGTTTAAACTAGCAAAGCTTTATAACTTTTCATTTGATTCATTCATGTGAAACCGTAAAAAATACGAAAATTAACGAAGAAAAGGAAATCATATGTTGCATCGATATATAAAACAGAACATATAAGACACGTGTAAAACATTGCGTAGCAAAAAAAAATTATGAATAACAATGATAATGATGAAATAAAAAAGAACCGAAAAAGAAAAACAACACCATCAATGATAAAAGGCAATGGTTGGCTTCCTCCTAGTGTGTCATGTAATTTCAAGGTATTTTCCTAAGTTATTGTGAAATCGTAAAATAATCTTCGATAGTATCTCTATTGAATACAAATAACATGTTGATTTAGTCTAGAAAATGTGCCTGTCACAACTATAAGTCTAAATAAATTACTCGAAAGTTAAAGAAATTTACATATAATTGATGATTTGTTGACTGATATGAATTTTTTCAACGATGAAGTTGAAAGAGCAAAAAAATAGTCTTAGGATGTGAAGGTATGGATGTGTGAGTAAGGATGTAGAGACAATAATTTTCTTTTAACCTTTCCATCTACACTCATACAGCCATCTCTGACAACCTCATCGTGTGTCGCTCTATTTCATGTATGGCTGTCTGTGTCACCATTGCACTGGATGTAGAAAAGAAAAGAACTTGGAATCTGTCTGTAAATATTAAAGTAAAATATATGGCTTTAGAAGAACGCAAAATCAAAGCATAGTTAAGAGACTGAAATAAATAAACTGAGGATGTGGATAGAAGAAGGTTCTCATCCAACCATCTATTCATCGGATCAGTTTTTTGTGATACACCTCGGTTAACTGGAGATTTTATTGAATATCGTGGTTATGTCAGAAATCGGTGGTTTACCACTATAGATCATTCACAATAACTGATGGGTTACACATAGGAGCAGAAAAATCCTACATGAGCTGTGAAGAGTGCAAGTTTTTTGTTTTTTTATAGATTAAAAATATTTGATAGTCTAGTTCAGAATATAAATTATGTTTGTACTCATTTCCTATCGAGATTGGACACAAAAACTAAAATACAAATAGATGTCACTGCAAAGCTATATTTTAAAAGATTGTTGCCTACACGGCTCTCGAATAATGTTCTAATCAATGAAAACTTTGATAGTTAAGATCACATTTATCTTCAATGTATTTTGCATTTTGAATGGATAAGAGCTAGTTGCAGAAGAACAACTATAACCAGAATGGTAATAATAAGAAAATGCAGGGATTCATTTAAAAGCTTTACATATTTTATTTAGATTCCATCTTGATAAATATGATTGAGAAAGCTTGTACCAAGTTCTTGTTCAGAATCCATCCAAGATTTGAAAGTCTCTACATACCAGCGGTATGTGAATGTTGAATACAAACTTTGCGTATGTTTGTTTTTTGAATCTGACGAATTCCATTCGAATTTATTTACAATCTTAACTCAGAAATTTATATAAATGAACAGAGAAATTTTATTAATAGCTTAGATGATTTGTTCTCTAGATTTTTACAAAATTATATTGAATTTAGAGAATTAATATCAATTTAGTTATTTTATTAATGTTTTCATTCAGAAGTCATTTTCTAATCAATAGGATCATTTTCGATAAAAATCGGCTTTTCAATTTTGCTTAATCGTGAACAAAAACTCAAATATTCATTTTCCATTTGTAATTTCTACTTTGTAAAAGCTCAAATATAAAGACTCCTGCCAGATTTAGTCATATATCTTGAATAAGGATACCATATATGTAGTTTTATAAAGCAATTTGCAGCTCATCGAATGATATAGAAGACATCAAGTTTTATGAAAATTGTCATATGCTGAGAGTCCACATACTGATTATAATCCTGGAGGAATATATTCTAGTGTACTCAACTTTGTGTCATAGAACACGTGAGTACCAATGTGAAACTTTATCAAAAATTACACACACTATCGAACTCCTTATATTTCACAGATAAGACCTTTCGGAACAAGAGGGACTTATTGCCAACTTGCAAGATTGTCCTCTAGAATAGCCTATTTTCTTATATGAAAGAGCCAGTATATTGACGATATTTTAACAATACTCAATGATCCTATCAAAAATTTTTATCCTCTAGATCCCTGAAGTGTGGATGGAGTTATGGAAAAAGGTGTGAGTATGGGTGTTGATCTTCTTTTCACCCGTACCCACACTTACTAATTGAACCAGTCCATTCGACATTCAACATAGCAATATTATGTGTATGGGTTTGAATGTGGATCTTCTTGAATTCTTTCACACACTCATACTCTGTTAACTGAAATTGAAAAAAGTAATTGTATCGAAATTGGGACAAAGTACTAAATAAAGTAAAAAAAAAACAAAAACTTCATAATATAAATGTTGCTTGAATTTATCGAAGCGAAGTTTAGAAGATCTTGGGGCACTATATTCTTGAGATTTACAATCTGAACAAAAACTATTGGATACAAAAACAAAACTCTGAACAAGCATAAATGGCATTTGTTGCAGTTGTTGAAAGAATGTAAACAGAAAATTGATCTGTGTAAAATTTAGCATCATTTGATAATAAGAGACCATATTTGATGTACATTTTTGAAAAAAAATAAAAAAGAACTATTGGATTCTGCTTTGAAGTAAAGTCAATCGTTTGTCTTGATATTCTCTATTATGATCACATGAATATTCCCATTGAATCAATGTTACATTGGCTGGACTGTGTTTTCCACGTTTGCAACCGCCCATCATACCAGAAGCTTGTACAGTCTGATTACAACAAATATATTTAAAACGTTGTTTCTCACGTTCTAAACGTTCTTTTTGTTCAGGTGTCAAAACATTTGTTGTTGATTGTTTTACAGCTTCTGCTTCTTCTTTCAGTAACAGTGCTATTGCCGCTTGGTGACCCCATTGTGTAAGTGTAAGTGAATGATTATCATAAACAAATCCATCATGATGTACACAAACACCCATCTTATTATCTTGTTCAAGATAAAAATCATTACATTGAACACATTTAATGAGCTGATCGGCACGGCGCATTTCAGCTTCTTCTTCTTCAATTTCACTTACCGGACGTGTAAATACGACATCATCACAAAATTGACGTAGAAGAAATGGATCACGTATGACCATTACAGACCATTTTTCTTCATTGACAATCGTATCTTTATTCTGATCGTTATTACTGAATGTTGATGATTGAATATATGCACTTATAAATTTATCTTTAACATATGTGTAGACATTATGATTAATTAAAGATAGATTTGTTGATCGACCCATTGATGAATTACCTTCGCTTTTATTTATACCAATCAATGAATCTAAATCATAGACAATCATGGAACGACGATAAGCTGCACATTCATCGAGACGTTCTTTCAATATTTCAAATTTTTCTTTTTCATCATAGGCACTTTCCGCGGATAGTAGATTGAGATCGATAAGTTGTAATAGTTGAACATTACGTGACTTTCCATAGACAGTCAAACGTTCAAGTAATTCTTGTATGCTTGTCTCTGAATCAGTTAAATATTCTAGATAAACAACCTTTTCACATTCACCAGTAATCGGATGTATATTTATCGCTTCAACATCAATCCGCCGGCCATGTAAATTAACAATAATTTTACCCGTATATACAGAATTCTTCTTGTTTACTAAATCATTAAACCTTGCTCTAGGCTCTTGATTATTTTCAAACAAAGGATTCCTATCAGCAACGCGCAATAATAGAGTTGGCAATGTTCCTGAACCAATGACAATTCGATACTGTCGAGCAGTAGTATCGGCTAATTGAAGCATCGTACAATAGTCAAGTTGATAACGTGGATTGATGCGTTGCATATCGATGCAATGGACCGTAATCAAACGACGAAGAGCTCTGTAAAACCAAAAAATAGAAGATAGATAAGAATTTGTTAATAAAATTCGAATAGAACTATCTTTCTATGTTTCAATACATTTAATAGGAATGAGAAACCATTGATACATTCAAAGCGACATCATCTATTTACCTCATGAGGAAGACTCAAAACCATAACGTATGGATCAAAAGATGGACTTAGTTTTCGATATAACACAGCCATTTTCCAAGTAATGAAACTGCAAGATTTCGACTTGAAATTTTGCTCGCAAGTAGATCACACTGTTATTAGAATACTGTGAAATTAGCAAAAAAAAATGAATGTGTCTTTCTTGAATTATTGAATTTACGAATTAGTTCATTTGTCTTGTGAAGAACTCGGTTATTAACTTAAGCTAGGAACTCAATAGCTCAAGAAAAACGCATTAATTTTGTTAAAATTACAAACTTTTTAAATAGCAGTGAGACCTATCGCTAAGGCAAATTTCATCTTGAAGTTCTCCAATTTCATTATTTTGAAAATAATTGTCTCAGATCGACAATGTAGTCAGATGAATCTAACTTTTGGCCAATACGTCATAAACAAAGATCTGTTGGATCTTTTTTATAAATCTTATCGAGATCTATTTTTATCGATAATAAGAAATGTTAACTAGCGAGGCAATTCAGTAGATTCTCACGTCAAAAGTTTCAGAGGACTCAAATTTCTCAAGACGACTTCTTATTCGAGTAGTATTTGGATAGTACAAAGAACAAGAAATTTATCAACACATTTTTTTTCCTCATCTTAAATGTCTGGAAGAGATAGCACGAGGTCAAACCTTGATATTGCACAAACAAAAAACGTGATATCCTAGAGCTGTAACTCATAGTTCTCTTGTTAGTAGCCATGTACTTTCTTTTGTTAAAAATAATTGTCCATTGATGATCAAAATATGAACTACAACGCTAGCATACTCATCTCGAAGACGGACAAGTCAGGTATTTTTTAATCCAATTCAAGTCAAGTCATAAGTCATTCACTTTGATATTTTTAAAATTTCGTGATTTAATTCTTTGTCAATTTCTCGAAAAAAATTTTACATCATTGTATGAGTAGATTGTAATATGGTTAACATTTGTAACGTCTTTCTAGAATTTCGGAACCTATGTTGCAAAAAATATAAAGCCATTTTTGTGGATCTCAGTGATAGAGATCGAAAACGAACACATCCGAATCGAACTTGAATCCGATAACGTGGCTTCTCAAAGGGAGATACATTTTTGAATGATATGCAGCTACTTAATAATTAAATGTTTAGGTGTTTTGTAAAAAAATTTTCTTTTTGTAGCACAATTTCATGTAACTATATAGCTACTTAAACATTGTGATAGCTATTTGAAAAAAATTCATACAACTATTATATGATTTCAATAGCTATTCGTTTGCAACAAACTTTTTTATTGAACTTCTTGTAAACAGCTCTAGAAAATCTACCGCCATATAATTTTTACGGTGTCAAGTTTAACATTTGCATAAATATTTAAATTGATTGTATTATTAACTAAAGAAATGAAAATAGCTTTAGTTCGACAGGGAGAGCATTAATTTGATCCGAGCATGATCGATCTGTTCCGTTTAAACATCTTAACTTTCAAAACAAATAATATCTCAAAAAATGTACTTGTGTATCAAGCATTGTCACAAACTAAACAGTTACTGATCGAGAAAATGTTTTTTTTTAGCGCTTACTCGAAATAAATCAGTGGCTTAGTAAATACCAATTAGTTATCAATATTCATTAAACAGTACTTGAAATCTTTAAATATGGCTTCAAATAAATTCCTATTCGGATGCATCCTACGCAAAGTAAATAAATATTAAATATCTATGATTAAATATTAAGTAGCTATGAAAAAGTATTAAGTAGATAGAAAATAAACTGTATGCATACAACCGTCATTATTCGTCAGTTGCGCCTCTCTCTCTCTCTCTCTAGCTTTTCCTCTATACAAAACTTGTATCTCTTTCCCTACTCGAATTATCATCATGATTTTCGGCTGAATGTTTCAATGCAATTAATTTCTCCTAGACCCTAACGACAAAAAATAGGCTTAGTTTTTTTTTGTTTGTAAAGTTTCTAACGCAATATTCGTACTGTTTGTAAGATGTTTTATTACATATGAAAAATCATTCGTTTGACTAACCTGAGTGCAGCTCCACTAAAATTTGTTGTGGCCATTGTTAAACTCTCGAGTAAATGTGGTGGAATATGCCAAGATTTCATTCCACTGAGAATACTTTTTCTTGCATGAGACGAAGGTCGTCCGACGAAAAATTTGCCTGACATACGTCGTAAGAATGCTTCATCCATCATATGCAAACGATTTGTGGCACAGAATATCATCAAATTAGGTACATCTTTAATTCCATCAATAACTGATAATAGTACACTCAATTTAGCAATATTACCATCGCTTGAATTATCTTTACGTTTTGGTGCTAATGAATCGATTTCATCGATTGATACACAACACATGAGATAAGGTGTTCGATGGCAACGCATACAAATATCTGAAATAATCCGTTCGGATTCACCTACTAGAGGTCGATTGAGTTCACCGGCTGCAATTGGAGGTGCTACCATGCTCACACCCATACGTACTGAAAGTTTGCTCATAATATCTGATTTGCCAGTACCTGTTAACGAACATAATAAATAATTTCTGATCAAAGCAGTTATTAATACTTAGTTTATGCATCAAAATGATGACATAAAATTTGCCTTTGTAAAAAATATTATAACATGTTTAGAGTATCCTCACAAGAAATTTTGAGAATGAAATTTTTTCGAATTAAACTCACCCGGAGGCCCATACATAATGAAACCTCGATTTGGTTTGATTAGGTCTCGATCAGTCTTCTCGCTACTTTGAACATCTCGTTCCATTAAGCCTTTTTCAATATTCTCAATTAAATCTTCAGTAGCTTGTATGTCCGTTCGTAATTTGTTTCTTTCTTGTTCCAATCGTTCCATTGTTTGACGATGTTCATCTAATAACTCTGTTATTAAAAATCCTTCATACTTTTCCCCATTGTTTTCCTCTGATACTTGTCTCTTCAACTGATTTTCTTTTCTTAATTTTCTAATCGAATCATCGTGTCGATAATATTGATCTTCTTTTTCCGTCAGTTCATTAATTAACTGTTTTTGTTTCACGAGTAATTTATCGCGTTCATTCAATCGAACTCGTGACAGAGATTGCCATTGTATATCATCGATTGTAAGATCATGTTCGATCATCGTGAGTGGAAGAAAGAACATTTTCATTTGATCAAATAGACCATCGTCAGCAAAACCTTCGCGACGCATTTCGTCAAATGATAAATGAACACAACGAACATCTAGTCTAGACGGTGTCGGAATTCCAACAGAAGCAAATTGATCAGCAAGCATATGGTGAAAGTACAATTTGATCTGATGGATACAAGCCAATAGTTCCGATTCCGATTCTATCCATAGAAAGAGATCATAATGTATGAGATTGTCCAATAAAATATAGGATTTTGTCTGTTAAATGTTGAATAACTCCTATCAAATCCCTATGAACAATGGAATCAGTATACTGCCGATCTCAAGAACTAGTGACGTAATTTCATCTTTCGAAAAACTTTAGATCTACAGATCTTTTTAGGACTATTCTACTCTAGTAATCACCAATCTCACTCCGTTAAAAATTTTCCAAATCTCAAAAAGTATAATTGAAAGTTTTTTCAACTTTTTTTTAGTCATTCCCAGATCCATATGTAAAACTTGAAGAATAGCAAACTAATTTCGAATTATCTACGTTTGGATTGATGATGAAGTATTTAGAAGTACTTTGGTTTCATTTCGAAGTTACAGTTGACTATTTTCTGGATTTTTTGTCTATATAGTCGTTTTCTAATTTTTGAGATGTTTTAATGTAGCTTTGACTCGAATTATACTTTAGAGTTGAAAGTTTGTCTACCAAGTCATTTAATTTTTCTCTCGAATTTCGAATTTTGGACAAATTTCGGAGAACAAAATAAAAAAAAAGGTTCGTCATCATTCAGCCTAGAACTAAATTAATCGAGATCTGGGGAACGCTGCTTGTTTTAAAAGAATACAAAACTATACTCTGATGTTTACTAGGTTCCATTTTCACTAAATACTGCTATTTTTGAACTATCTAGGCACAATTATTGAAACTTAGAGAAAGATCTAAACGTAAGAAGACGAACATTTTTTTTTTCGTATAGCTTTAAATTAGGAATGTTACTTTACATTTACTTCGCTCAATATGGAAGTAAACGTACCACCCCTTTTTTTCGATAACTAACCAATAGAGTGTATTTTGTCACATGACTACTACAAGTAATCATTCATTCACCCTAATATTTGTTCTTAATTTTCCAGAAGATAGTTAAGCGCACCTGAGGTTCTGCCACTCATGATGTTGCATCTGACTCAGCTATTACTTACTGGTCGATATCGATTGTAATTCATAAAGAACGTTTTTATGTATTTAAACTTACGAATTCTTCCAGATTTTTTATTTGAATCATCTATTTTGACTTGTGTAGTTGTTTTGGCATCGCTAGCCATTTGTTTTTCTCGATCTATATAAGATTTAAGAATTTTTTTTCCATTTATTGATAATACTTTCAATTCACTCCATTCCGCATGTTTTAAATTCGCCAAATGATCAAATGTAAGCATATCATCTGCACGTAAAGCTTCGATCCATTTGGCAGTCATTCCATTGTTTTCTTTTTCACAAACATCTTCAACGAATCTCTCCAATGAGACTGTATTTGGTCGATCAATACTTCTTATTGTTTTCTCATTTTCGTGATCATTCGTTCTTTGTTGTCCTGGTAATTCGATTAAATAAAAAAGTTGTGCATCCGATGCTAATTTCCATCGGCGTGGAAATTCTTTTTTCTCTACAATAAGATTCAATTCGAATATACCACGTAGATGATCGAAATACCAAGTATCAAACTCATCGACCAATGTTATTGGATCTACTAATGGAAGTTTACTTAGTGAACGTCCAACATCAATCGTATCACCGCGAGCATGTAATTGAGAACGAATAAATACATCAAGTGTACAACCAGAAATAAGATGTCCATGAACAAAACGATTAGACGATAGTATTTCGAATTTTTCCTGTGATCTGCAATGAATAAATTTTTTCAAGATTGTTTTTGGTCATCATGGAACTTACTTTCGCTTTGATGTTATTTCTGCAAGTGGTAATAACAAAAAAGTTTGAATAAATTCGATTACAGCCGAGTCATTTTGTTTGACAATAATTTGACAGATGATTTGCTTTAATGATTCAGTAGCGATAGGTGCTGCTGCTGCTGATGATGATGATGGGACTGTTGGTTTTACATTCATTTGTGTTGCTTTTCTAGCATTTCGTCTTTCAGCCATAAGAGCATCAATATATTTGCCTACCATTGCTTCACATGCTACATCCAAACTGCTGCATGAAACGCATAGATTTAAATGATCAAGATTGATAGAATCGTCGATAAGCATAAATTTTTCAGCAATCAATTTAAGTTGATAGTCTAGATTAGCCGTTGTCGTCGTTGTAGCCATCAATTGAGTTTTTATCATCGTTGCATAATCTGAACGAAGTTGCTCAAGACGTATACGATCGATTGTTGCCACCGATTCGGTCACATTAAGAAATGCAAATACAGACTGACGATTGGAGGGCATCTAAAAAATATATTCTATGTTAAAATACAGATGATGATATACTCTACGCAAAAAACAATATTTTGTACGTTCAGAGTTTTACAGTGAAAATGAGTTGTATTCATATAGAAGAACAGAGACAATAGTCAATATCTACTATGAATTACACTATCATTCGTTGCGTTGTTTCAAACTTTTCGACATTTTGGAACACAATCAACTGCTCAAGAAACCTATTTTAAGTGACTTTTCGATTTTATTGAGTTCATATTTTTCACAGTAGCTGAACACTACTAGAGTAGGATAATTTGCAAAAAGTTCCCAGCCATATTGAAATATCGAATTTTTCTTTGACGACTCTAATCTTACAGTAAAATCATATTTTAGAATTTCGCCTTGAAATTTTGCACACATAAAGACCTTATACAATCTAGCTTGTGAAACAATGGTAGATTTTTCAGACAAAATTTAGGCAAGATAATTGATTTTTAAAAATATCCATGTTTTATTCAGTCACCAGGGCAGCACATCTATATTTAAGAAACTTTGCATCTCAATGAAAGTCTGTCCGAAAAATATGGCATACTTTTAATTTGGATTCTCAAGGGAAAATTCCATACTCAGATCAAATTTCAATATGAACACGAATCATTTGCAGATTACTTTAGTCTAATAGTTTCCAGCCACCGCGAAAAATGAGAGTCCAATAAAACCAAGATATGAGTTGGAGTCATTTTTCAATTGGTTAGAATATTTCGGATTTTGTGTGCGTTTACGAAAGAAAAAGTAGAAGAAGCTGTAAAATAAATCTTAGAATATTCAAATAATGCAAAATCTTGATGATACCTTTAAAACGTAAGCTTTTATTTTTGTTGTAATTTTTAGAAGAACTCCATCTAAGAATCTTAGTTTTTGTCCTGTTTTCTCTTACATTACAGTCAAAATGTTCTAATAAAATCAAGTGTTATGTCATGATATCTATATATATGTATTATTTATCTTTTCTCTGTTCTTTTCTTTTCTTTCTTCTTCTTCGATGATACATATATGCATGTAATCTCATGTACTGGTGGTGATTCTTTAAAGTTAAAATAAACAAACATTTATGTTCTACGTATGAACCCACTTTTGCTCTTAAAAACAAGTGTATAGAAAGTAGAACGTAACATCAAGAGATAGAAAATAAGTAAAACTCTATTTATATATACATTATCGTATGGGCAAGGACTATAAGTTAGTATGCATGCTTGTTTGAACCAGAATTTTCGATTGTTTTCAGAATGAATGAAGCTGAAAGTTCGACAGGAAATGTCTTCATTTGACTTTTGTGACAAGTCGAACAAATAATGCTAAATTCGTCGGTTTTCAGGAAAATTTTGTTGATAGAAAGTATTTTTATTTGAACTTCTAGTAGGAAAAACTTGATTTCTGTCGGAATTAAACGTAAGATTTTAAAAACATCTATACATAAGGATACACTGAAGTGCATTTCTCTTTTGATTGAAGTCACAATTTTTATATGTGACAGAAAAGTTTCATTTTTAATTACATAACAGCGACTGAAACCGAAACGAATTCGAATTAAACTTTTGTCATTCGTTTCAGTCTCTATTCCATAAATCTTGTCTATTATAAAATTAACGTCTGTAACAAAAATAGTTATGCACTTGAAAATACTGTAAAATCTATTCAATAGTTTATCTGTAAGTCAAATATATCAATTGATTTTTAAAAATCTATTTTGATAATAAGACTGATATTTTTCTATGTGTATTCGACATTTGCCTATATTATTATGATCTACTGACTAATTCGAAGTCACTTCTAAACTTTTCAACTAACTCTTGTGATGTCTTCTTCAATTGGACAAGTTCTATATTTAATGTAGTCATATTAAATTAAATGTTCTCACAGTTATTTACGAAAGTTTAAAATAAATACAAAATAGTATAAAAACAAAGCAAGGTTCTCTACGATGATTTTTAACATGTATGTCATTTAATCAGTTAAGACTTTCTCGGAGTTAGTAGTTGGAAAAGTTGAATTGAACCATTGCTCTGAAGTGATTTGTTGAACCAGACGGTGCCAGACAGTATAGATTATTAAGAGGAAACATGCTTTTTCAAAAAAATAAAAAATTCATCTGTGATAAATATATTTTGAAAATTTTTGACATTGATTCTATAATTTTATATTCGAAAGTAAAAATAACTGAGAATATCAAAATTTCATAAACTTGGCGATCAATACTATCCTTCTTATTGATCATTTTGTATGAATACTTATCAGTGCAGGACATATAGGAATGAATATGAGCAAATTTAGTGTCAGATCGAAATAGTTTCCATGAATTCGATCATATGAAAAACCTATTTGAAATATAGTACATTGTCTAAAACCCTCGCATTATACATAAATTATTCAAAATCATTAATCAATTCAAATATTCTTACCATAAATATTGCAATAATACTCAATTAGAAATGAATGTCACAGTATATCAATGCTCGCATGTGTTTGCGGGGTATATATATAGGGATCGGAGCATGTGCTATATGTTTCTTCTTTTGCGAGCGTGTTTTTTTTTTATTACGTTTCTGTCCATGCGTTTGATTCATAGGGTAAAAACCATCGTTGACTAATTCGTATGCATCATCCTTCCTTCATTTAGACATCGTGTAATACTAATAATCATGATTCAGTATTGTTTTTCATCGTCAATGTTGGTATTTAAATACCAACAAGTAGACACAGTGAGTAACTTATAGACACGATGGCAACAAATTATAGTGTCATAGACGAACAACGTATTTTGCAAGAAGCTAATGTACGTCGTTTGCGTGAACTCGAATTGAGTCGATTGAGTGAATCCGATGAACAGATTGCTCGACAAGAATTGGCGAAGTTCGATGAAATGGAACACGAACTTCAAACATTGAATCAATCCGATCAACAACGTATGGAGGAACTTGAATCAGAAATACGAGATATAAATCAAGAAATATATAATGCTGAAAAAGAACTCGAACAATTCAATGCACAACTCGAAGAACTTCGAGTTGAACAAGAAATACAAGAGAAAAATCTTGAACAAGTAACTAATGAAGTTGCTAAACTAACACAAGAAATTAAACATGTTCAAGAAGAACTTCAAAAACTTCGTGAACAAGAACATCAACTTACAATTGAACGTGACAAATGTCAAGCAACACTTACCGAACAACAACAAATTCTCAAAGAAGAACAAGCACGTGTGACTGATCTTCAACAACAAATTGTTGTGTTGGAAAATGATAGGCGTTTATTAGAACAACGACGCGATGAATTAAATACACAATTACAACAAGCTGAAACAGAACGAGTCACTCTAGAACAAGAAATAGCAAAACTTGATGCTGAATGTACACGATTGGAACAACAAGTCAATGTTTTACAACAAGAATTAGTTCAACTTGAACGAGCTGTAGAACAGCTTGTTCAACAAATAAAGCAAATTCAAGAAGAAATAGTCAAATGTGAACAAGCCATAAATGAACAAACTGCTCGAATTCAAGAATTAGAAACTGAAAAGCAACAGGTCGAAGTTGAAATACAAAGATTACAAGAATCGATCCAACGCATTGAAACAATGATCCAAGAAGTAAGCTACACATACAATTGCATGAAACTGAATATTATTAGGATAGTGTACATGAAGAATAGAGCATTTATCATAATATTTGTCACTTGAGTATCCAAAATCAATAAATATCTATCAAGACAATCATCTACCAAGTTCACGAAACCTACACATCCAAAGATAGGAGGACTTTGATTCAAGAGTGTAGTGGTGGATATTAAGTGTGACTTGCTCTTTACAGATAACTACCCTGATATTCACACCTACAACCACACTCTACATATCACATAAATAAGAGACAGCTTATAATGTTGACTATTTCTTCTCTGTTCGTATTCATTACAAAATCAACAGAAGGGTCTTGTAAGGTGATAGTCAGCATAGGTAGAAATTAGACAATTATTATACTCATATGGCTTTAGACCTTTAGTTGACTATTATACTTTTTATACAGCATTTTCATTACATTCCAGTTACTCTTGAAAATTTATTCTTCTTCTTTTGTTTGGACTTCTGTTTTTTTTTACTCAAAAAAAGTTATCTCAAAATCATTTTTCTTGATAAACTTCCTTCTCGTTACAATTCCTAAATTTTGCATTGTGTGTTGGGTTTCCGATCAGCTATTCTCTACTGTCCTTTTTTTTATACAATTTGAGAAAAGAAAACAGCGAACTTCAAGAAACTTCTGAAACTTCATGGAGTTTCGCAGTCGAAGTCTTAGTTGTTTTCCTCTGAACAATTCGTCTCTCATGAAAACTGAAATAATTGTAAAAGAATGGACTAATTGCATTGTTTTTTTGTAATTTAAATAAAATAGTACTTTAATATACATCAATCCATTCGTCTACATGATTATGAAGTTGTACGGGACGTATACTGTTGAGTACACGATGATTATTTTCAATTATTTTTTCACACCTTTCGAAACGTAAGCAGTGAATATTTCGAATCATTGCACATTAATTACTGACTGACTTACAATCTAATAGAAAAAATTTTGTGATAAAAAGAAATATTAAATATTAAATAAATACTTTTGACAAAGTTACAAAAGCATGAATGTATTACTCTTAGAAAAAAAAAGTTGAAACATGTTTTTCGAGTAGTCGATCTCAAACTTGCATATTTCAGTAGCTAACTTTATATCAACGCAATAGAAGACGTTTTTTAAGTTCAAAAGTAGTGTCTAAATTTAATGTATTTTATGCGTTGATGCCTAGGTGGAAAACAAAGAACGCCAAGTAACCGAAGAAATCAATCAAAAAAATCAAGAGAAACAAATGGTTGAAAACGAACAGAGAATTGCCGAAGCCGAAGTTCAACAGTTGAAAGCAGCTCTCGAAGCACTCAATGGAGAATTGAAAATGTTACAAGATAGATTAACTCAATTGACAAATGAAGTCAATCAGTTGGAAGAACAAGTTCGTCAAGCACAAAATGAACTTCAACAAGCAAAGTATGTGTGAGAATATGTACTTTGAAAGATTTCTCTGGTCGTAAAAGATAGACTTTAAAAAAACCAAGAATGAATAATTATGTAGAAAATTCAGTTAGATCTAACGATTACATTATTTGAAGAAATTAAAATCCTTGATCATGATTTGAATGGCTCATCTATAGAAGGTAGTCAACAAGCTCCAACATATACATGCATGTAGAAAAATGAAATATCAAACAAAAAATTTCACAAATATTCAAATCGAACATATTGATTTTAGTTTCTGAATTGTTGAAAAACTCGTTCATACTTAATCATTTTGATTGTAAGAGCTCTTCTTTTATTTAAAGGATAATGAGAATACTCTTCCTCCATACAGCTTTGCAAATACTTTATCCCATGGTCTCATGGGAGTGTTTTTGATGAAAAATATGATTCATTAAACTATACTACAGAACTAATCATTGAAACTGATTCTCAATATAAGATTTATTTTTCTCTCGAATAAAAATATGAAAGTCAAAATAATTAAATACGTGATAATTCTAAACGAGAAATAGTTAAATTTTCTCTAGAGTGCAATACCAATATAGAAAAAATATAATGCAGATTTCTAAAGCCCCTCTTTCAACGGTTCTAATCAGACAAGAAACTTAACTTTAGATATTCGAACGTAGAGTTAGATGGTTTGAGAAAGCTGATCCGTAGAAAATCTTTGGAGAGCAATTCAATACTGCTGTATTAGACAAAGCTTTTCTTTCATAATCAATCAAATATCCCTCACATAGTCAGTGTTTAACAATGAATCCAAGATTTATTTTTAAAAACTTGAAGATGTTTTTCACTTAAACTATTGTCTAGACAAATTAAAAATCATAGATTGTTGATCAGTTAATCATTCTCTACTCAGTCATATATATATTCGTAGTAGAAATTATAATTTTACTAAAGTTGATATTGAAATTTGAATTTCTGCTAGCAAAAACTCAAATAACAGGCGATTTGAAGCTGCACTCGTAGAAATTAAAATTTTAACCTGGATTCTTGAATTACGGACAGTTTCAAAGAATAAATGTACGAATGGTTAAATCGATGAACATAGAAGATTGTAGTTTTCAGTCGTTCATAAACAAGTTCGGTTTATTATTCTGTGATCGTAGTGCATTTTATGCGATAGACACTACAGTTCATTGAACGTTCCCATACGAAACAGTTAAATCTTCAATTTTCTATACGAACCAAATCTACGTAGTAAAGAACTTTCAAAATCTCATAAAACATTATTGTTTTTGTCTTAATTTGTTCTAAATTATATGTCTTGTTCCAATCGAAATTCGTGATAAAGAAGCATCTTTCAAAGATACATTACTGAGAGAATAAATGATCGAAAAAAATTCATTCAAAACAATAGATTTCCATTGACAACTTTGAAAAAGACATGAAAATTGTATTTTATTTCATTTAGGGAAGCAGTACAACTTGCCGAAGCAGAAGTGACACGTATTCGAGGCGAACTCGATCAGCTTACGCAACAATTACAAGCCAAACAAGCTGAATTGGCTCAAGGTGAACAAGCGAAAACTCAGCTCGAAGCAACACTCGCTCAAAAACAGGCTGAACTTCAACAGATAACCGATACTGTGAATAGACTCGAACAAGCACTGATGCAAGCCAAAAGTGAACTCGATGCTGCTATTGAATTGCTCAATCAATATACTGAAACACTTCGTCAAGAAGAACAAACTGAATTACAAAAAAAAGAGGAAGTCGAAAGTCAAGAAACAGTCTTAAAAGAAGCCCAAGATGAGGCCAATCAATGTGACCGACAGGAGAGCGAGAAAAAACAAGAGTTAGATACAGCGACGCGTGAAGAAAAAAAAGCACAAGCTGATTTAAATTCAGCCAAAAACCAATTGCAAATTGCTGAAACAGCACTTCATATTGCTGAAATGGCTCTTGCAACAGCATTGGCCTTTCCACTAATTGGTCAAATTGCAGCCATTGCAGCGACGGCTGCACTTGCAGCAGCTACCAGTGCTGTCATTGCTCTACAAATAAAAGTAAATAATGCAGAATCGAAATTATCTCAAGATTCTATCAAGCGTGAGCAAGCTTTTCAAGTACATCAAACAGCACTTGAGCAAAAGCGAGCGGCACATACGAAAGTTGCTGAAGAGAAACGAACACTTTTGACAAAACAAAATGAATTGAAACATCAGATACAAACTAAAAATGCTGCTCAACAACAAGTTGAACGTCAACAACAGGTTGTGGAAAAAACGACTGCCGATCATGCCGAAGTTGAACGTCAACTCACTCAAGCTAAAGAACAGCAGACAATGAAAACAAATGAAGTTCATGATGTAGAAGCACAAGTTCAAAAGCAAACTGAACATGTTGAACAGTTAAAACGAGAAGTATCTGAACTTGAACGAAATCAAACACAAACTCAACAAGCACTTATCAATGCAGAAAATGAATTGAGAAATGCTCAAACTAAAGAGCAAACAGCAGAAGCCACTCTTAGAACAACGAACGAACAGCTTACGGCCAAACAACAAGGTGTTCAAGAACTACAATCTTCAGTTGCTCAAAAACAACAACAGATCGAAGCAAAACAGGCAGAATATGCTATGAAAGAAGGCGAAGCACAACAGTCTAAAAATAAAATAACAATTATCGATCAAGATCTTAAATTAGCTAATAGTACGAAAGCGGAATTGGAAGCTGAGAAGAGACAACAAGAAAATATGCTTCGAACTGAACAGAGTAAAAGTCTACAACTCAATTCAGAACATCAACAACTCAAAACAAACCTTGAAATAACCCAACAACAAAAACAACAACTTAGTCAACAATTACAAGACTTCAAAAGTCAATTGGATCAACAAAATGGAGATATGATGCAAAAGAGTGCCGAAGTAGAGAAAGTCAAAGCTGACTTACACACAAAGGAGCATGAGCAGGATCAACTTAAGTCACAACGGGATGAACGTACAGCGCATGTTGAACGAGTCAAAGGGCAAATTCGAGAAAATGAACAAAATTTGAAAGAAAATGAAACGAATCTGTCGCAGACAGTACAAACGAGACGAGAACGAGAAATGGCCAAACAGGTTAGATATTGAATTATTCTTGTTGAAATTTTATCAAAAGCGTCATTTTTTTTTAGTTAGCAGAACGTCAAGTAGCTGATAGTCAACAACGTCTTCATCAAACAGTTGAACGCCTTGAACAATTATCCAATCAAGTTCAAGAGAAACAACAAATTTCTAATGAAAAAAATCACCGTCATACAGAACTTGCTGCTGATGTAGAACAACGTCAGGCAGCTAAACAACGTTTGGAAACTAATGTTCAGGATATACATAATCGATGGACATCAAAGCGAATCTGGACGACAACTGCAGCAACACATGTTGCTCAACTCGATCAAGAAAAAGCCAATATTCAACTAGCTAGCCGACAAGTAGCTGAAAGCAACAGAAAAACTCGACAAGATCTACTTTTACACAATCGAAATGAAGTACATAAAAATAATCGAAACTTAAAAAATCAGCAACAAGTTCAGCGCCATTAAACAGATCTTTTCATGAATAATTCATATTGTTAATAAAAGTCTATCGATGCAAATCATTTACCAATGATGCGAAATTCGTTCTCTTTAAGAATTTACTATCGATTAGACAGACAACTATTATGTGTACAAGTACACCTATTCGGATGCTAAATCGTATTTCATCCGAGATTGTATCGATTCGATGAATACGATTGACGAAAAAATATCATTTCAAATGTCAAGTCGCTTTTAGTGTAGACAATGTGAATTCGATGAGTCTTAGTAAGAAATAGAAAAGTATAGAATGCATTGCCTTTCCAAATCTTCGCTCTTGGAACTGCTAGTTTTTCTCTCACAAAAATAGTTGGTTCTCAAGTTTTCAAATATTTTTGGGTGTGAGTATGGTAGGAAAGAACACCAACAGCCACACCCCACCCTGATTTACACAAAAACTTTTTTACAAAAAACTTTTTATGGTAAAATCGAACTTAAAATTTCGAAAAATCGATTTCAGATTTGGATTTCTAGACTCCTAAAATCTTTGATCAAACTTTATAAGAAATCGTTCTTTTCCTAAAAAAACTCTTCTTTCGTGGAAAAATCTCTACTTCAACTACTTTATTAAAGTATCCATGATGGTTACCTTGACGATTTGAGAGACTAAATGAAGTGCCTTGGTAATAGAAAAAGAAAGAAATGAGCTTGTATGCTTAAGATGTTTCCTTTTATACTCCATTTAGCTGTTATTGTTGGTGTTTAAAAGCCATTGAATTGGAAAATTAAGATATTTATTTATTATTGGCTATTTTTTCAGTGATTGCGAGAACAATGAATATTTTAGTAGGTACTGCGCTCACTGCATCGTAGATACGAACGCAAATGCGTCGTAGTGGACGCAATCTATTTCTTTAATCTCAACTGCGTCGCAGATAATGGCTACTGCGTGTAACTGCAACGCAGTTCTCAAAAAAGTGGTGACATGAGTATAATCGAAAGAACTGACACATTCAAAAAATGTTTTTAGAAAGTCAAATAATTCTTGTTTGCCTTGAATTGATGTTGTGATTATTTGCAAACAAAACACCTCGGGAAGTCTACTAATTATATAATGCATTCTATAATCAACGACTTCAAGGCACTGACTAACTCTCGAAAAGATTTTCAAACATTTTTCTCGTTTTCTTTCGCAACTCAAGTAATTTTTTTATTAATCAACTAAATTATAACATTTTCTTTCATTGTTTATTTTTAAAGAAAAACCTTCTCCTCATTACACTTAAATACATTTGTGTTTTCAAAGTAATTGAAAAATAAGGTTATAGAATAACTTTTCTAGCACATCAACAAAATAACAACTTTTCTTTTTCTTTTTCTTTTTTTACAAATTATGAATCTTTTCAATTAGAAACATTATTTGACAAAACGATATTTCTTCTCTTTCAACCATAAGATATAATCGATTAAATCAATAGAAATCAAATTTTAGAAAAAGATATTAACTTCTAAAGTTAACTTCATAGAATAGACAGCAAGAGTTAAAATCTTATGTCTATTCGAAATATTTATTGATGATTTATTATAAATTTCAAGTTCATTGTGAAAAAGTTCTTAATGAGCACTGAAGCAGTGTATTTCAAACTGACACATTTTAATATGTACCGAGATAAAAATTCATAATCTTAATCTAATCAAAATATGCTTAGTGAAATAAACATTATATTTCAATCACAAACTAAATATAAAAACAAAAATCATCTAAGATATACTTTTGAGCATCAATGTTTTCTTGAAAACCAACAATAACAACGACAACAACAGAACAGATCTGATTAGTTTGATTAACTCTTATTGAACTGTAATACTTGTTTGTTTTTATTTCATTGTCATAGAACTTTTTTGTTTATTGTTGATTGTCTCATTTCTTATTCTACATTTCAGGTAATACTTTTAAATATGAAAATAAACTATATTTGAAATTAAAATTTTTGTTTTTCTCATAGTTTTCTTCGATTACCTTGATGTCCTTTTAAAAAGATTACATTAAAAGTATTGTTCAATAGTTACTCATATTCTAGAATTTCTATATCGTTCATTTTTTTTTCTTCAATATTTTTTATATTCATACTTAAACAGATGAAATTAGTTGAGCTTTCCATTACAATAATATATTTTTTATGAAACTAAGAAGAAAATTCACATTGCGTTTACAAATAAAAAAATGTAAGTTTACACCTTAGTTTTTTATATTTTGCATTTCCTATCGATTTCAATATAGATATTTGTTTTAATATTGAAATGCAACTTATTAAAGTCACTTAGAAAAAGTTCATAGAAGATAATGTATTAATAACATCATGATGAACAATTTGAACATGTATAGGGTGTCCCAGATATAACATACCAAAAAAAAAATTTGAATATCTCCATTACGGCTCGAACAAACGAGCTGATTTTTTTGTCAATGATAGAGGCATGTTCAAAGTTTATATCTATAAAGACATGCCTAGAGAGACCCTTTGTTAAGTATCAGTATTGGTCTCAACAAAAACATTTTACTTTTTCACAGGTAGAAAAAGAAAACAATAAACTTAACAAAGGATCTTTCAACGCATGCCTTTATGAATATAAAGCTTGAACGTATCCCTATCATTGATAATAAAAATCAGCTCGTTTGCCCGAGCCGTAATAGAGATATTTAATTCTTTTTTTCGGCAAACTGACTTTTGTTCCACTCTGTAAATAGTTTTTTCCTATCTGCGAAAAAGTAAAATGTTTTTGTTGAAGCCAATAGTGATACTTAAGGAATGGTCTCTTTAGGCATATCTTTATGGATATAAACTTTGAACATACCTCTATCATTGACAAACAAACCAGCTCGTTTGTTCGAGCCGTAAGGCAGATATTCAATTCTTTTTTTGGTACGTTATTTCTGGGACACCCTGTAGAATGATTGTTTTCTATCAGTACCAGAAAAATCTTATTCATATCAGTGTTGAACAAATTTCTTTTTAAAAGATCGAATTTATCCTAGAATAGATAGGTTTGTAAAATTTAAACAAATGAAACCAATTCTTTTTTGTCCATAAACTCACATTGATCGCTGTCATAAATGTGAATGGTCTAAGTTACAGCAACGCTCAAAGAATCATCAGCGATCATTTACAGCTGAGAAAACTTACCGCTCATTGTATATCCAAGAATCTGATCTATTTCCAACGGACTGAACGCGTTCGAATAGGCAAAGAAAACTTAAAAAATGCGTAGAAAATATGGCGCTTATGTGATGTGATGATTGGTGACGAGTCGTGGGTTTTATCATGAGGAAATCGATCGAAAATCATCGAATGTTGCTTGGGTGGCAAAAGAAAATCTTCCACCTACCGTAGTGCGATATAATAACTTTGCTCCAAGAACCTTGTTTTCGATCTTTTTTAAGTCAACTAATCCCGTTATTATTCATCATATTGCGCGTGAACGAACTGTTGACCATCAATATTACACTGACAATTGTTTACAATCTCTCGTCAATGAAATCAAGCACCAAAGACCATCATGTGGTACACGTGGTATTAAACTCCTTCATGACAATGGAAAACCTCATGCTCATCAAGCTATATCTGATTATTTAGAATCAGAAGGTATGACAATAATACTACATCCACCTAATTCTCCAGATCTTTCACCCTGTGACTTTTGGTTATTCGATGTAATCAAAAAAACAAAATATAGGTGATCAAAACGATGCCGAATCATTGCATGATGCTATAAACACATTCCTTTATTCTTCAGATCAAGAAGAGTACAGAAAAAACTTGTTAGCGCAGTCTCTTTGGAGCTGAAATGTGGTACTCACATATGCTCTCGAGTCTCATTAAACTAATACGTGATATGTAACGTGAAAAACCTCTAGTACATTATAGGTGTTTTGCAGCATAGTCGGTAGTTAGAGTAATGACTTCTCTAATTTCTGCATTTCAAACAGAAATTTTTTATTTTTCTACGGGTGCTCAATTTTTTGTTTGCATTGTTGCTATTTGCTCATTATTTTTCATTTTTTTCAATTCGTTTTTCTTAATTTAACATTCTTATTGTTATAATCATTGAATTAATTGATAAATAAGTCTGTTTTACATATTCACGATATCTACAATAGACTTCGCACATTATCGTGTATATTAATCGACTCACAAATAATGATATTCATTATTCTTCATAGTTATGATTTGATCAATTTTAGAAAAAAACCTAGAAGAGCTGATGCATATTATTCTCGATTGCTAAGGTCTGTAATGGGAGCCTGCGTTGCTAAGTGTCTGTAATGAAGAGGGGCAAGCCGCAAATACTTGAATTTAAAACTTGCACTCACTATTTTCTTCAAAAATATACATATGTGAGTTCCACAAAATATAATGGAAGAAATATTGCAACTAGAACAGTGATAAATTTCACTGAAGTATTCCCTTTCAGTTTAGAATTCGAGCATGAAAAACCAAATCGATCGCTCAAGATCATGCCATCGATTAATTCTTTGCTCACGAGTAATCACAAATATGTGCGATTTGAAGAACTATGAATTTTTTGGAGGATTTCAATAACTAATAGTCTATCATAATCATTGTTTTATCAGAAATGTACATATATTTCTATTATAATTTTTAGTTGAAGCTGGCATATTCTGATGTAGTAACCATCAAGGTATATCAGACCATCGAACAAGCAAAAATTTCTTTGATGAAATCAAGGAATAAAAGTGAAGAATCATTCAAAAACAGAATGTCAAAGATATGCCTCAAGTGGTTGAAATGCGTCCGGACTGTCGAAAATAAATGTGCAATAGGATAATATTTCCGATCACGATGTATTTCGATAGGCTTTGACAGTTCGAAATTATACCGAGTAATCGAAAGCATCTTTTCAATATGAGTGTGCGAGGAAAAAATGTGTCCGAAGGCTCAATATTTGATACGTTTCGTGAAAGTCTAAGTCCGAACATAATGGAAAAAAAAATCTTTTCAGGCTTC